CTCAATTCTGTCAGAATGTAGCAGTTTCCCAAACAGTGGGAGGGAGGACAGGTAAAACTAATATATATCAGCTGCATGATTCTCAGGTTGTGAGAAATTTCGTTATATATTTCTGAAGTCTGATGGGAAAAAGAATGATGTTTTTGTCTTTAAGAATAAGTGGAACAGTACCTTTGACAAGAAACATCCTACTTAAAAGGCTTTATCCCAAGAACTCAAAAAGATACCTTTCATCAATTTTTCTCTCTTCTTGCCTTAAGATTTTTCTGGAAACACCAGAAATCTGGCTTGCCTAAGTGATTTACAAAAGTTTAAATCTTCCTCATGATTAGGAAAAAGCAATAATGAAATAATTTTCATCCTATATTCTGGAGAAAACAAAGCTAAAGAAAGCTACTAGAAAAACTCATATATTAGTCAGGGGAAAATATGACAGCCTAGCTGTTATCTGAAGAAATTTTAATGAGGGGATTATTTATAAAGGTTTGAGCACAGTTGAAGGACTTTAGAAGAAACTGTAGAATCATGTTTAGTGGGTTACATGACAAATTTATGTCATCCAACTGATCTGCAGTGACATCACAGTAATTAAGAGTACGCACGAACTTTGGTCAGACTGAAAAGGATCCAATACCAGCTTTAACACTTTCTGTGGCAATTTAAAAAAAACCTATCTGCATTCCAGTTTCCTCACTTATAAAATGAAGAGGATAATATCTCAAAGGATCGTTGAGACAAATAGATGAGGAAATGTAACTCAAATAGTAGCACCTAACACATAGTGCAAAAACACTTGAATGTTAAATTTAATTTCTATCCCTTATTTGATTCCTAGTAGAGATATTATCATGTTGGCCACAAAAATTGTTAATATTTAGTGTCAGGTTTGGCTAAAATAAACAACAGTAAACAAAAGAAGCTTAAATAAAAGTTTCTCTTTCACACAAAATCCAGATTAGGATAGGCAAGGTTTGGTATGGCAGTTCTGCTCTAAAAAGCCCACGTACACCTTCTATTTCTATTTTTGCCATCCTTAGTACGTGGCCATTGTCCTTATTGTCCAAGATAGCAGTCATAGTATCCTTCTTTCATGTGGCCAAATGAAGAAAGTGGGGAAGAACTGGCAAAAGGAAAGCTGCAGCAGTCTCTTAAGGAAGCTTCTTGAAAGCTTATATCCTATTGGCCAGAATATCAGTCATATGGCCACAGTGGGCTGCAAGAGACGCTGGGAAATGTAGTCTTTATTTTATTTCTAGGGGAGAAAGGGACCATACATATTGAAGGATAATCGGTAATACTTGTCACAGTCAGCAACTGTTTCAAATTATCTTTATTATCCTCAGATCTCCAAAAGTCACCATTTTTATCCCATTTTTTCTATCTTTCTTCATTGAATTTTTTTCCCCTTTCTTACCATTCATAAGGCTATATATTTTCTGTTCCATTTTTCTTTCTACCTATATTTCCCATTGTGTCTTTTGTGTATGCAATGAACATTCTTTTTATTTTCCTGCACTTTCCCGCTATTTTGCATTTATTAAAGTTAAACTTTGTTGAATATCATTTTCTACAGGTTTAAAAGTCCAAGACTTTGCTCTCATTCAAAGTTAAAATGTAAGCTACCCGTATTCTGAAAAGGGCTCTTAGACGTTTACGGTTGAAATTGTGCTAAGTCTTCTCCTGTGGTCTTGTATCTCAGGCTGCCTCATTGTATCTCCTTATGCATATTTCTATTCCACCAGGATGTGACTTCAAGATCAAAATCTACATCTTATAACAGTTTCATATCCCCTTCTAGAACAACAGTACTCTGCATATTTTAAATATTTGATTTAATATATTACAAAGAACTGAATAATACTCTTTAAACCCATCCACAATTGTCACTGTAAATGATTGAATGTTTTTATGTAAACCCTATATAAAAGTTGTGTGCCATAGTTTCTGAAATTTTGTGAGTAGAATTTTATACTTGAATTATTATAAAATATATTTGGGAGTCATAAATTGTAATTCTATTATAAATTCTTCTATGAAGCCAACTTCACTCCTCCTTATCCAATTTAAATATTTTCCAGTGAGAATCATTATACTTACCTCAAAAAATTATTTTCCAAAATTCTTATTTTTTAAGAATCAGATTTATTGAGATAATTTACATACAATAAAATTCACGTTTTAGGCATATTGGTCTCCACTAGTTAATTTTACTAGTTAATTTTCTAAGATCACTATAAATTTGAAGCTATTACCTACTCTCTACATCTATCTCTCTGAAGGCTTATAATAATTTTAATGATCCCTGAATATGTTCTAGGGACAAAACAGTAGAAATCTCTTAACTGAAGGAAAGTGTTTGGAAATCTTTAGTACCAAAAATAACTGTGAAGACTGCTGTATATGATGAGGGAAATAAAATCTTCAATAATGCTTTTGAAACTTAGATCACTAATCATTTTTAAAATTTTATGCTTTTCCAGAAAGCTATGGTAGGAAAACACCACAACAGGCACAATTTTCATAATACCTTTACAGGCTGATTAGCATGGTATAAGATATTTTCAAAGACTGAAGAAATGAATGAAAATATAAAATGATATACTTACTATAATTGCCATAAAATCATATGTACGTGGCAAAATATATAATTACCCTAGCTCTGACAGTATACTTTTTACACATACAGGCAAACACTGAAAGGGTTGAATCTTAGTAACAAAATGCTTTTTGATGCAAAATATAGAAAAAAATGCAAGAATTATGAATACCTCATTTAGACATAAACTCTTTTACTCAAATAGGCATATTCCATTCACTCTAGGGTCAATATGTCTAGAAATTAGTTATAATAAAAATTGAATCATGAGACTAACATCTACAGAGTTCTCCCTCTATTAGGTATTCTGAATTATAAGTAGGTACAACTGTTCAAGTTCATATAGAAACATGATAGTGGTTTTTCTTGAGTAGCAGTTGTGTTCAAATTGTAATATGGTGCCATTTTTCTCGTTCTTTTTTTGCAGCACTTTTGAAAAACTAGAAAATGATGCAAACTTTCATTGGTGCACTCTGTAGTTCTGCATCTAGCTAAATTTGTGTGTGGTCCCCCAAAAGAGCACATCTTTCCCTCAACGTTGAACATCTTTCAGTTTTCTTATCCAATTGTCCCAAACACCTTTGCAGTTTTGCATTTCCCAGGTCTGCTCTCACTGTGGCAGGCTCCAGATGCTTGCCTCCTCTAAACTGAAAGTTTAACTATCACGTTGGAAAGTAAATCCCCCAACACTTAACTGAGTAATAATAGCTCAATAGGTGATCTCTGAGGTGTTTACATTAAAAAAAGAAAGAAAGAAAAAAGAAAATAAAGGACACTTTAGGTACAAAGCCTTCATTCAAAGGTAATGAAATTCTTTCTATGTGTAGAATTTCAAGCAGTGTCAGGTATGATAGACTTTCTGGTGGGTGTTGGACTTCTTTAATGCCCCTTAACTCAAATGCATTTAGTCCACTCCCTTTCTCTTGTCAAGATAATAAAATAAATATTTCTGTAGGATGGTACATTCGCTAGCTTTAAAAAATGTTTTAAAAGCTGTTCATCACAATTTCCTTCTCATAAGGCATTTAGATCAATCTAACGATAGCTTATTTACTCTTAGTATATTTTTTATTGAAGGTGGCAGAACATTGTGTCGTAACACTAAAAATTAATGAATATAATACAAAGATTAACACATTGAAAGAAATTAAGGCCAGAAATAATCAAAGCCGTATGAATCCTCTTGGCTAGAACGCCTCATGCCAGTCAGTTACATAAGTCCTTTATTCGTTCACTTTTGGAACCAAGTCTAATACATTTGACTAGAGGGAGTAGTCTTGGAAGAAGTAGCCGGGAAGAAATCGATCAGGAAAAAACAAAAAGATGGAAAAGTAGAATGTTTCCAAGAAGGGGTGGGATTTAGGGTGGAGGCCTGGAAAAAATGCGAGCGTTCCTTCATTCACTGAACAAGCATTTATCTTTTGCCTCCCTCATGCCAGGGCCTATTTTGCGTCTTCTCCGGATGGGTGCTGCTAGTCAACAAATTCCGGATTCCGATTATCTCAGGAACTTGAGTTGCCCTCACTTCCGACCTCCCCTCTCAAAAACTGTCTTCAGGCAGGGGGGGTAGGGATGGGATAGGGAGGATGAGAGAGGCGATGCCCGCCTCGTGGAGCACAACATCTGCTGTGTTCAGCGACAAGCGTCTGTCAAGCGGTGGGAGGAAAAAGAGCTTGGAGCCTCCAGCCCACTCTTAGACGAAAGTCGCCTGAAACGCTCCCCTCCCCCCGCCCCCCCCGGACTTCTGCTGATTTCTTTAGGCAGGTGGTGCAGAAAGGCAACTTTTGGGAACTTGTAGAAGGGTGTGGGGCGAAGCGGGACGAGCGTGGAAATGCGACTCCACTTGATCTCAGGTTAGGACTCCCACACTGGGATCAAGCGCAGCGGGCGCGGGGGGCCGGGACTGGGGTCCGAAGCGGCAGCTGCAGCGGCGAGCCGGGCGGGGCAGGCGAAGGCCCCCAGGGCGCAGTTCCCCGTCCGGCCTCGCGGGGGCGCCGGCGCGGCCGATCAGGTGACCGAGCGCTCGTCCTGGGCTGCGGGAAGCGGCCTCGTTCTCAGCCGCCGGAGACGCCGCCGCCGCCGCCACACCTAGTGGAGGAGCCGGGGAAGGCGGCTCGGTGGGGGCTGGGGCGGAGAGCGCCGGGGGTGGGGACGGAAGGGCGGCGGGCGGAAGGCAGGAGGCTGCCGGGACGCGGGCTCCTACGGGGGAAGGGACCCCCCGAGGCGTCTGCCGCGGCTCGCTCAGTCACCGGCGCGGGATTGGGGCGCAAGGGTCATGGGCGCTCTCCCCTGAGACGGAGGTCGCGGGCGGTGGGGGAGGAGGCCCGACAGAGGTTGCGGCGGAGGCCGCGGGCCGGTGACTGGGTGCGAGGCGGCCGGCGGCGGCACCACCACCAGCACCACCATGTCGCGCTCCGTGCTGCAGCCCAGTCAGCAGAAGCTGGCGGAGAAGCTCACCATCCTCAACGATCGGGGCGTCGGTATGCTGACTCGCCTCTACAACATCAAAAAGGTGCGCACGGGCCGGCGAGATCGCGGCGGGGGCAGCGGGCGGGCGGAGGAAGGACGCACGGCCGGGGAAAACCGGGGGTGGGGGCAGCGGGCGGCGCCCGAGGCAAAAATCACGGCAGTGCCGCGTCAGGCCGGGCCCGGGGTCGCCGAGAAGCGCCGCGGCCTATTGCGGAGTCCCGGCGCCTCCCCCGGTGGCGGGCGGGCCGGCCGGAGGCAGAGAGAAGCCATTTCCCAGCTCCCAGCGGCGGGATCCGGCCGGGCCGGCGCGGGGCCCGGGGCGCCGCTGCCGCCCCCTCCTCGGCGCCCCCGCCCCCGGAGCGGGGTCTACCGGAAAGGGAGGGCAGAGGGTGGGCGAGGTTGGGGGAGGGGGGAGGAGATAGGAAAACTTGGGTGTTCATAACTGAGGTTGAATGGTAGGAATCTGTCGGAGGTGGTAGCAATTTTGTCTCAGTTTTTTGGTGTGTAAGTGTGTGGATGTGGGAAGGGAATGGCTAATCGGGATGAACCCCGCATCTCCTCCACTTGCCACTTTATTTTGGATTGCTAAATAACAGTCGTTTGAGAGCATGTTGACAATTTGGAATTATTTCATTTTGAAGGTAGAGAGGAGGGGAAAGTGAGGGTGGAACCAATTTTCTTCTGAAATACTTCTGGGCTGTGAGTCACGAGAACAGGAATAACAACCTTCTCTCCCATCCCTCTTTACTCCTCCTCTTAGTTTTTGCAACCATGTCTATCTAATAGCACCGAAACACCATTTCTTAAAGTTCGGTGTCGGTACAATTAGAATTGTAAATATGTTGCTATTACTGCTGGTTTATAACATGTAAGGAAAATTTGTGTAGTTGTAACTCAAAGGCCCATCGAAAGTCTTTAAATGGCCTCAGTAGAATAAGAAATGGAAGGCTGAGTTGGAGTTAAGAGAAATAGATGTAAAGATAGGACAAATATTGTATTAATTTATCTTGAGAGAAAACAGACCAAAATCGTTTTCCTTTTAAGGCAAGGTTAGTAAGTTTCAAAGAACGTGGTGAAGAGCAAATTAAAGAGATTTTTGGGCACACTCTACCATTTTTTGAGTTTGCAGTGTGTATTTGATGTCATGTTTTCATAATTATTTTTGTTGGCATTTTAACTATATCATGAACATTCCTTGTAGCTTGACCATAGCAATATAATTATAATGTGTGTAAATTAGGGCTGATGAAGAAGTATTTTTTTGAAATCCATATCATGGAGTTCAAGTTTTAAAACTGATTTATTCCAACAATTTGATATAGATGTTGTAATTCTAAAGGAGAAGACTATGCTAGCTTAATAGTGATAAATTTTTTATAAGGATGGCTTGTGTTCCTGTTGCTCACCTGAATGCAAGGATTGATTTGCCTCTAAACTCAGTAAAATCTGGAGAGGGCAACTGCAACATGTCTATTCAGTTTGTTACATCTTCTGTGGCAGGAGCTCAGCGTCATCACAAAGAAGCCCTCTGCATTTACCAAAGAGCTTTGGTTATACATTTATGGTAGATGGAAACAACTTAATTTTAGATAGTACTACTTACAGGTTGTATTGACTTGAACTTTTCTTGTGATATTATGCTCCTTAACAAACTTTCAAATTAGTTCCTATATGAACTTTGTCTTAACAAGCAAGGCAAACGGTACTAAAAATTACTAGACCTGTGGTATTGTGGTTAAAGGAAATGGTTACGATGGTTTTCAGAAAAGGAAGTGAGAGTAACATCAAAAGTGATTTGGGTATTTGGGCAAAATACCTTTTTAAGCATGCATTTAGACATTTTTATGGTATAAACACAACCAAACTTTACCTATTCTACCTTCATAAATTGCACAAAATTAAAACAAACTTGAAGCGTTTGAACTCCTGTTATTTCAGTTCACTGCCTTAAAAGCTTGCTTTTTTTCACTTCCTGTTTTGAGAAGCTTCAGGTTCTTATATTACTGAGCTATTGAAATTTAAAATGATTTGAACGTGATTATTCCATTCAATTGTCAAATATTTGAGTTATTGTTATATTTCAGCACTTAACGCATATTTAGAGTTTATTGAGAAATATTTTGTCTATCTTGCCTTACGTTCCCTCTGGGCACGGACGGTGTTAACTCATTTTTGAATTACTGGTACTTGGGGCCTTACCTGGTCCAGAGTTTTCCATTAAGTCTTGTTGAAATGGATGAATAATACATATATATATGTGCATATATATTGGTGCACATATGTACAATGTATATATTTAACATATATGGCATGTTAAAAAATATATATACGCATTTAACATATATGACATATATTACATATGAGTGTGTGTATAATCTTGCTCTAGTTTTAATAATAGCTTTTGGTTTGCTCTCCTTGTGCAATTTTGCATACAAATGCATCAGATAGCTTTTGCATCTTTTAGCCTATAGAGTTGTCTATAAGACTGGCATATCTTCCTGGCTGGCTAGGGATTGAAACATTTGTTCAAAAATCTTGCCAAAAAAAGTGAGTAAGATTGGTTCACCATGTGTTTATAAGGTTCATGCTGTCTGCATTTTTATGACTGTATAAGCTACATCTTTTTAATCCCAATCTCTTACAGTTCTCAAAAAAACCTTCCACTGCATAATACATGTCTACCAATCAATTATCACATTTTTATTAATGCGTACATGCATTAGATTGTCTTTCAGATCTGATTCCTGTTTCAGTTGGAAGTCTACATGGAAATATTTTAGTGAGCATACACAGTGAAAATACTTAAAATGACCTGAGTAAAATAATTTCATAAGTTACTGTAATAAAAAATAATATACTGGGGTGCCTGGGTGGGTCAGTTGATGAAGCATCTGACTCTTGATCTCAGCTCAGTCTTGATCTCAGGTTCCTGAGTTCAGGCCTTGCATTGGGCTCCATGCTGGGCATGAAGCCTACTTAAAAAAATCTATTATCTATATTTATATATGTATATACATGTATATATATATATGTATATATAGTATATATAAATACACACACTTTAATGCTTATTACAGGAATGTGGTTATTGAAGATGCCTTTTTATTTATTATTATTTATTATTTTTATTTATTAGAGAGAACGCGAGTTGGGGAGAGGGGCAGAGGGAGAGAGAGAATCCCAAGCAGGCTCCATGACCAGCGTGGAGCACGACATGGGGCTTGATCCCAAGACCTTGGGATCATCACCTGAGCCCAAGTCAAGTGTTGGATCCTCAGCCAACTGATCCACCCGTTGGTGCCCGTTTTACTTTTTTTTAAAAGAAAATCGATCAGTTGAAAAAATTTTGAGATCTTAATATGTACAGGTTATGGAAATTTTAACGAACTTGTAGACTAATCACATCCTTACGTGAGGACAGAAGGAGTCGCCGCCTGGGTAGCTCAGTCGGTTAAGTGTCTGACTCTAAATTTCCACTAGGCCATGATCTCATGGTTTTGAGTTCAAGCCCAGCTTTGGGCTCTGTGCTGGCAGTACGAGCCTGCTTGCTTGGGTTTTTTTCTTGCCGTCTCTGTGCCCCTACCCTGCTTGAGGGCGTGCATTGTCTCAAAATAAACATTTAAAAAAAAAAAAAAAGGAAAGAACAGGTGAAGGAGGAGTTTAGGAAAAGACATGAAGGTGGTAGGTAGTTTTATGTTTACATTTCTTTGTCTTAATTCCTTAAAAATTCTGTTTTTTGTTGAAAAATATGTCTTTTTCCAGACCTGGTAATGCTACTTACCTACGTGTTGATTTTTAACATTTTCCAGTCTACTTTTATATCTGACTGTGGTGTGGTACTCGAAGTACAGTAGTGGGCCAGGGCTTAGGAGACCTGCATTCCAGTCTTCAGTCTGTCACTGAGCGTTTTGTAACATCGGAGATGTCTTGACTTCCCTGAGCTTTATTTTTTCTCATCTGTAAAACAGAGGAAAATTAACTGTAAAAGGAATGTTAAAGTCCATTCTAGCTCTCATTATCTTATCTTTATAATGTTTACAGTGGCCCATTTTAAATAGTAACTGAGCTCAGTTTAGTTTCCATAATGCAGAGATAATGCCTGCTCTGCCTACTTCACAGGATTGTTTGTGAAGATAAAAGATAATAACAGTGTTAAAATAGTTTAAAACTTTCATGAATGTAAGTGTTTATTTAGGAGTCTCAGCAACTTTTTGGGGGGCAATGTTTGTTTTTTTCTGAAATTTTGCTGCTGTTAGCAAACACATTCCCAAATACCAGAACATTTTTGCTGAGTTGAGCAAATATTTCTATTTTGTTTTTTCAAAGTCTCCTTTTTTTTTCCTACCTATCACTAATATGAACGATAACTCTTTACTAGAAAGGTCTCAGTTAATATTTGCATGATTTTTCTAGTTACATCATTGCCTTAATTCTAAACGACGGAAAAGAAGAAAAGACCCACCCAACTATTGCAGACTTTTTTTTTGAATGGTGTGTGTTTGCAGATTTCAATGTATTTTCACTTGTTTAAAAAAATTTTTTTTTTATTAGAGGCTCTCTTTTTTTTTCATAGTCTTCTCCCCATGGTTTTGGATACATTTATTTTATGAGGAAAAAATGAATAGGAGTATAAAAAAATTGAAAGTCCTTAGCTGGTACCTGCTTATTTAATGGAGGAAAAAAAAAAAGATGCATGTGAAGGAGGGGTGTAGCGCAAGGTAAAGGGAGGGGAACCAGCTTTCGTTTTCTCTTTCAGTGTTCTCTTTCTCTTCATTTAGGGTATTATTTTCTCTATTCATCAATCAGGAGCAGAAACATCCTCCAAAGATTGGTTTGTGGCAAGTTCTGGAGTAGTAAGTGTTGTTAGTATGAGATTCCCCCCCCCCACCCCCCAGGGGGGTTTCATGAGAGCCTTAAGTATGTTAAGAAGGAAACATCTCTCCATAAACCTGAATTAAATAATATATATTATTTATTTAAACAGATCCTATTATGTCTATTTGTAAGTTTATTTTTTAATGAATGCTGCTTGTAAAAATGAGG